TATATGTGAGTATGAAAGATACGAAGAAGCCTGAAAACTATTAGAAAAAATAATACTTGAAATAGCAATTTTCTTGTTAGAAAAAGAAAGAAAATATGATACTTCATAATTATTTCTCAAAAAGATAATTTTTAAAAATATAAAAATGACAAGATATCAAAAAAGATACAAATATATACTGGGTATTATTAGAAAAGAGATTGAATTAGAACTTACAAAATGCTTGAGAAGTAAAAGAAAAGCTAACTGTTTTATCAAAAATATTTCTTTATGATACAAGAAGGTTTTTATCATCTAATATAGAAAGAAAAATATGAGTTAGTAGCTAAAAAGTTAAAAAAAAAGTCAATTAAGAGAACAGAAGAAAGAAAAAAGATAGCTAGCAGGAGGAAAAGAATAAAGCAAAAACTGTATTAAGCAATCATAAGTTAAGACAACCCAAAAAAAAAGTTCTAACAATAAAAAAAAAAAAGAAAAAAAAAAGATATTAGAATAACAAAACAAGATTGAAGAAGTAGTTCAAGATTTAATCAAGTAGCTAATTAAAAGTAAAAAAGATCTGCTTTGGTAGAAAAGTTAGTTGTTAAGTAAAATAGTTAAACTTTTAAATAGAAAGCTATCTAGCAATAAAGCACAATTAGCTGTTGTGATAACTGCACTTCTTGTTGAGTATTAGTCTAACACAAACAGTAATTTCATTATATATAAAAATATATAATTAAAGAAATTCAATAAAGTTGATATGAGGTTACTAAAAGGAAAAAATATATATATATATATATATTTTTAATATATATATATTATTTTTTGCATATTTATCAATTTAGTTTTTATACTAAATATATAATATTTTTAATTATTTTTATAATAATAATTTTTTATATATTGATCTGTTTATTCTATAGTAGAAGATGCATTACTATTTGATATGCAAATATTTTGAGATTTTGTAATTAGATTTGGATAATCTTGGGCTTGTAAGAATTATCTTATTATAACAAACATTTTGGTTATAAAATTATTTTAAGCAGACCAATATATAAAAAGTTATTATTACAAAATAATGTATAGTTATTTGGCATGATATAACAATTGTATTGTGATCTGTATGATCATGATTCTATTGTTATATATAACAAATAATAGAAAATATTGAGTAGAATTTGATTAGGAGATATCTGGGCCTCTGCAGAGCCCAGATATCTTCTAGTCAAATTTTACTCAAAATATGTCAATTATTAGTACAAAGCATTCAATAATGGTATTATTCAGCATCTTACAATAATTAGAGTATTTGCTATAAAAATTAAGCTTAAATCAATAATATAAACAATAAATTAAAATTTTTTATATAAATTTTTTTTTTACAATTGACTTTTTTCTCTTTTGCTTTCAATTTTTCTCTTTTTTGCTTTTGATTTTTTTACTTAAACAAAAAAAAACTTATTTTCTGCTAAATTCAATATTACATTTAAAAAAAAAAAACAATTATATAAAACCAAATATCACAAGCCAACAAATAATAAAATAAATAAAACAAATAATAGTATTATTCTTGTAAACACTTGAAAAACTATGACAAAATAAGATAGAATTTTAGAAAGCATAATAGTATAATATTAATTATAACTATAACATTAAATCTATTATGAACAAGAATGCAATTTATATAAACAAGTTATAAATGAACATAATGTAATTCTCAAGAAAAGTAATAGTCAGCAATAATTGAAAATAATTTTTAAGTAAATATGCAATTTTAACAGCATCAAAGTCTTCCACCTTTGCACTATTTTATTTAACTTTAAAAGATTCTTTGATGGTAAATTTTCTATTATATTCAGCACTATCATATTTAGAACTATCGAATTTAAAACTATCACATTCAAAACCATCACATCAGAACTATTATATTTGGGTTTGTCAACTATCAGGTTAGAAATAATAACATTTCTTAAAAATTCTTATAAAGATTACAAAAAAAAAATATTAATTTATATATTGTAATTGTTAAAATGTAATAATAACAATAGAACCCAAATAAATAAAATACTCGATATGTATAAGTTATGATTATAAAAGTTTAAATCAGTGAATTAGCATAAGTTACCCAGACAAAACAAATTATGGAAACTATTTAAGCATATTATACTAAATAACTCGAGTTATTTGGTATTATAAAAAACCAAATCGTGAATATGGTAGTATGATTGGCTAATTTATATTGATCAAAACGTGATCATTGACTAATTAAATCTTAAAATTTACAAGTAAACTTTTATCATTAGTGAAGCTTTACATTTAATTTATATTTAAACCATAATTTTATTTTGTTTTTAATCATCACAAACTCTACTAGAGATGCGCTATAACCCTTAATTTATATAATTAATGAGCACAATACAACTCGTGTACACTGTATTGATCTGCTACCAAAGTAACTAAACATGCTTACCCAACGTTTTAGTTCTTTGTTGTCTCTCATTTCTGGGTTTAACTATAAAAACACAAATAGGTTATTCTCTTGCTTATCGAGCGATCTGCACAAGTTTTTTAGGATCGACCCCTCTCTTTTTCTTCTTTTCTTTTCTTTTTTTACTATATATTTGATAGTCATCCTGATAGGTCACAAGGGGACTGTATATATATTGACTGTCGTCTTGACAGGTCATAAGAAACTATATACACATACTTGACTGTCATCTCGACAGGTCATGAGATGGATACATACAAATATAACTGTCATCCGACAGGCCATATTCCAAGTTTAATAATAACTACACCTGTATAATTGTCGTCACTTTAAAATTAACTTGGTTGGGCAAGGGAGGGAAGAGTCGATATAACCAGAACTAATATCAGGTTTGTAGAAGAAACAAGGCTGTCTTACTTATATATCTCATCGACCCTAATATATACTCATAACGATTACTTATCGATTACCTCATACTTACTCAAGTTACTCACTGAACAATTACTAGCTAATTACCTCATAGTTATACTAAACAATTACCTCATAGTAAAGCTAAACAATTACCTCATACTTTCTTAACCTTGATCGATCATTAGTTTGATCAAACGACTGAATATGTAACTGTAATCGGGGCATGTCACATGTCCGAATCCGAGTTGATTCGAGACAAACACTGCCTCGATACTTATATATCGAGTAGCTTTATAATATCAATATGCAAGATATATAGTAAGTATTAATATCAAAACATAAATTAATATCTGCTTATAATTTTTTCACAATAAAGTCGTGTTGTTATCTAATTTTATAATATCGTTAAAAATTTTCTTGTAATTTTAGAATTTATGCCAGAAATTCTTAAGCATATAAATTATTAAAGTAACACACAGACAAGATTTCTATGCTGTTTTTTAAGATTAAAACTTAAACGTAAACGTCTCAATCACTACTTTAATTGACTATTTTCGCATTTAAGCCTTATATATAGTTAGTATAGTAATAAATAGCAGAATACTTGCTTCTAAGTAAAGTTATTGAGAATGTTGATTAGTTTTTGATTATTTTGCACAATAAATATAAGCGTTCTTTTAAAGCTAGAAATGGTCTTTATGGTGATTTTTATTATATTCTCAAAAAGTACTTTAAACTGTATAAATAAGTTACCTGGGCAATTGATTTCATTAGCCAATCATATGAATGTCAGCCTATGAGTTTCTATAATCTTGAAATTGAAATCTGGGCCTTAATTTAAAAAATGTACCCTAAAAAATTTTATTAAATAGGGCAATTATCAATTAATCGCATGCGCACCCGAAGTTGCTGGTACTACTGCTGCACCTGAAGTTGCTGAAATTACTGCTGCTCCCATAAAGGCTACTGGAACTACTGTCGCACCTGAGTCTACGTTAGTTTCTGTGAGAACGAATACGAAACATTCTGTATTTTGCACGGTAGCTATATTTTCAAACATCTCATCAAAATGGAGTTTAGAAATTACTTGTAGAGACTCTGTTTATCGTGCACTAACAAAAGTAAACTGTCTCTTATGACTAGGAAAACAACCAAAAAGAAAATTCTCATGGAGAACTAAAGAACAAGTCCGATGGTTGATTAGGATATGATTCATGAAATTATAT